CAGGATCAGTTTGCACACCGTGCTCACTTACAATGTGACCTAAGTAAAGCACCTCTTTCTGGAACAAGTGGCATTTCTTAGGATGGAGTTTGGGGTTTGCTGCTTCTTGTTTCCATTTTTTTTGTCCCACTCTCTGACACCAATTTGTTACGTCTCTGGTCGTTAGTTAATTTTCCGTAAAAATTCTTTCCGAAGAAACTTTAGCGATGAAAGTCCTTTCTTAAATAAAACTGGTTTATTCTTTCTGAATACAACTTTGCAATATACCTAATTTCCACAGTCACGCTTTAACAAACGCTATAATTCAAAACGAACGACTCACGTGCTCGACTCAATTGTCAGTCTCTCTCTGTCTGCAATTCAATTACATTCTTGCCGTCACTTCTTGGCCGTCTTATATATATACAAGAATACCGCAAATCTAGTAAACACTCGAGGATTCACGAACCTTCGAGAATATGACGTGTTACTAGTGTCACGTGACCCCCGCTGTCGTAAAAGTAGCATTTAACTCTGTGTTCACCGCAAGGTTGCTGACAACATTCCTACAAGATTGTTTTATATCACATAAATAGTATAGCCTGTGTTAGTTAACACCACCTTTGAAGGGACTTATTATCAACAGTATTATTTTTACGTACCCTCTTCAGAGTATAACATGAATACACAAATGTTTAGTATTAATAGCTAAAATTTCATAAAATTATACATCTATATGTATTTATTATATTAACCTTTCAGCCGTACATTACAGGAGTTGCAATGACTCGACGCACGTGCACTCATGTTACCGAATCCAAGAGTATAAAGTTGGCCTTCAGTCGGATTGCCAACAGTCGGATTTCAATTATAATACATTATATATGTATATACGTTATTACTATTTAGGAATAAATTCTTAAACTTATTTCCCTTAAAACATAGAATAGTAAATAATAAAGTAGAGCAAACAATTATCTCTTTTAGTTACGAACTTTGTACTCGGTTGCTGCTTGCCGTAGGTTGCTAAGCCTTATCAAATTTCGCACGTAGGGGATGTGAAACGAAATAATTTTTTTAAGTTTTATATATACATTTTGAAAGAACCAAAAATCATGAATTCCTATATAATACTACAGAATTCCATTGTAATTTATAAAGCTTAGTAACTAAGCTGTATTTGTGCCTAAAAAATATGACACCTTCACTTTAGAAATCGCCACTATATGCTCTTTATGGCTAAACTCGTAATCACGCAGTCTAACTTCACTTTTTTCCCATTTACTTTTACTAACTTACTTTCTTGCACTGAGTTGTTCGCCATATATATATTTCCCGAATGAAGCCTAGAACTTTTTACAAACTACGAGATGTTATGATGTAACAATATTTACTTAAAGCAATGATAGTCTGGATGTCACAGTGTTTATAGCGCTCGACTATCATATTGTTGCGTAAGCGAGGTCACGTGACTAGTATCACGCCACTTCCTTCTCGAACCTTCGTGAATTGTCGGGAGATTACTAGATTGGGGATAGTCTGGTATATATAAGATGGTCACAACGTGACGGAACAATGTGTAGGTAATGA